GGTGTTCTTTCTGATTCCCAATGTAGTAGGAGAGCAGCTTGTCAGGCAGAATGTGTGGAGATTGCAGTTTTGGAGGAAATTTCGTGGCGTCAGAAATCTCGGGCCCTATGGCTTAAAGAGGGAGACCAGAATACCAAGTTTTTCCATAGAACTGCTAATGCTCATAAGAGGAATAATCACATAGGGCGGATGTGTGTGGATGGTGCGGTTTTGACTACGGAGGAGGAGGTGCATAGCGGTATTGTCTCTTTCTACCAAAAGCTTTATTCTGAGCCTCTTCGATGGAGGCCACGTCTTGATGATCTTCACTTTGATTCTATTTCTGCATTAGAAAGAGATGGGTTGGAAAATCCTTTTTCGGAGGAAGAGGTGTTGAAGGCCCTTAAGAGCTGTAATGGTGATAAGGCTCCTGGCCTAGACGGCTTTACTATGAGATTTCTGTTGCAGAGCCGGGAGGGGGTCCGGTACGAGGTGATGGGCACTTTTCATGAGTTTCATTCCACGGGGCGGTCTGAGAAATCACTGAACGCATCTTTTATTGCTCTTATTCCTAAGAAGGATGGTGCTTCTCACATTAAGGATTTTCGACCAATTAGTCTGATTGGATGCATTTACAAGCTCATCGCAAAAATCCTGGCATTTTGTTTGAGGGAGGTTTTGGATGGAGTTATCTCTGAGTCTCAGAATGCTTTCATTGGGGGTAGACAGATACTGGACTCCGCTCTTATTGCCAGCGAATGTGTGGATTCTAGATTGTGTAATGGGGCTCCTGGGGTTTTATGTAAGCTGAATATTGAGAAAGCCTATGATCATGTCTGCTGGAATTTACTGTTCTACCTGTTGGAGAGGATGGGCTTTGGTGAGAGACGGAGGAAATGGATTGTTTCCTGTGTTTCCACTGTCAGGTTTTCGGTGTTGGTGAATGGGTCCCATGCGGGGTTTTTCGGCAGTTCTTGCGGTCTGAGGCAGGGGGACCCTCTCTCCCCGTTCCTTTTTATTATTGTTATGGAGGCTCTTAGTAGGTTGATGAGAAGGGCGGTGGATTTGGGTTTTATCAGGGGCTTCAAGATCGGCCCCGACTCCGTTCACCGAATGGAGATTTCTGACTTGCTCTTAGCGGATGACACTAATGTTTTTTGCGAGGCAGAGGTGTCCCAGTTGAGGTATCTGAGATGTGTCTTAGATTGCTTTTAAGCTGTCTCTGGTTTGAAAGTCAACGTGGGCAAGAGTATGCTTGTCCCTATGGGGGAGGTTCAGGAGGTGGACACTCTGGCTGCTGTTTTAGGGTGTGGGACACAACGTTTCCCTATCTCGTATTTGGGTTTACCGCTGGGGGACTCGGCCAGGAGGGTGGGAAGTTGGGACCCGGTGATTGAGAGGGTCGAGAGAAGATTAGCTGGTTGGAAAAAGCAATATCTTTCCAAGGGTGGTAAAGTTACGTTAGTGAAAAGCATCTTGTCAAGCCTCCCAACGTATTTTCTTTCGCTCTTTCGGGTTCCAGCCTTGGTTGTTGGACATCTTGAGATGATACAACAAAACTTCCTTTGGGGGGATCGTGGAGAGGAGTTTAAGTATCATCTTGTCAGATGGGAGCAGGTTTGCAAGCCATTTCAGTTGGGCGGGCTTGGGATTAGGAGATTGGCCCCCTTTAACAGTGCTCTCCTCGATAAGTGGCTTCGGAGATTCGGCAGTGAAAGGCATAGATTATGGAGAAAAATTATTTCTTGTCGCTTTGGGGAGGAGAGGGGGGTGGTCAGCTAGGCCAGTCAGGTCTGCTAGTGGAGTAGGGGTGTGGAGGGCCATTAGAAAAGGATGGAACGAGTTTTCCAAACATGTTAGATTCAAAGTTTGGGATGGAAGGTTTGTCCGGTTTTGGGAGGATCCCTGGTGTGCAGATAGGCCTTTGGCTCTTTTGTTTCCAAGTCTGTTCAGGATTGCTGTTGACAAATATGCTATGGTTGCTAACTGCTATCGCCTTGATAGCGAGAGGTTATCTTGGGATGTGCGATTCCAGCAATCTTTTCAAGATTGGGAGTTGGATGATGTCACGGGCATGTTGGCTTTCCTGTACAAACAGGAGGTGGAGGGCACTGGTGTTGACTCTCTGATTTGGATGCCCTCCTCTCAAGGGATGTTCCAGGTCCGGTTTTTTTTTTTTGTGCCTCTCTGGTTTTCATGGCGTCTCCTTCCCGTGGAAGACGGTGTGGTTGTCCAAGGCGCCTCTTAGGGTGGCCTTTTTTGTGTGGACTGCAGCTTGGAATAAGATTTTAACTTTGGATAACTTGAGGAAGCAAAGACATATTATTATTAATCAGTGCTGTCTTTGTAGGTTGAATGGGGAGTCAGTGGATCACCTGTTGCTGCATTGTCTTGTGGCTCATGATTGTTGGAGTCTCATTTTTGATTTGTTTGGTATTCATTGGGTTATGCCTCGGACATCTCGAGAATTGTTGGATATTTGGAGGGGCCAATGGGTGGGGGCTCAGGCGAGTGTCTTCTGGAGGGTAACCCCTTTCTGTGTTTGGTGCAGCATTTGGAAAGAGCGGAATAGAAGATCTTTTTCTGGGAAGGAGTCCTCCATTGGGGTGTTGAAATTTTCTATTATTTGTACTCTCTTTTGTTGGGGTTGGGGGAGAGATTTTTCCTCGATTGAGGATATTGCGGACTTTTTGGGTGCCTTAAGATCATAGGCTCAGTTTTTTGTATAGCTTGGGACGCGTTCCCCTTTTGAATGCCTTCTAATACATTTCACTTATCAAAAAAAAAAAAAAAAAAATACTAGGGAAACGTACCAAGGTGAAAAAATGTTGGATTCTAAAAAGAATCGAGCAATCACATTACCTCCTACAAATTATGGAATTTGAACTCACGTCCTTTCACGTGAAAATTTTTGGATACCTCGGGAATAGTAACCTGAGATAAAAAAATAAAATAAAAAAAATCGACCAAGTATTCACCTCGAGAAATGTAACCGAGGTGAAACTATTCACCTCAAGAAATGTACCAAGGTGAAAAAATGTTGAATTCCAAAGAGAATTAAGCGATCACATTACCTCGAACAAATTGTGAAATTTGAGCTCACACCCTTCATGCCTTATGGCAAGTCAGGAATAGTACCAGAGGTTTATATATATATTTGGATTCCAAAGAAATCTGTCGTGTCTCAACAAAAATTTGTGCAAGGTGGGACTTGAACTCACGCCCTTTCATAACATTTGGCAATGTCGGGAATAGTAACAAAAAAAATAAATAAAAATAATAAAAAATAAAAGTAAAAAATCTACCTTGGGAATAGTACCCCGAGGTACTGTTCACGTCGGAATAGTATCCCAAGGTTTAAAAAAAAAAAAAAAAAAAAAAAAAAATTGATATTTTCTAGTCCGTTTAGAACAAGGAAATAAGGGGCATCTGATGAGGATAAAATAATTTGAAGTTGACCAACCAAGATAATCGCGGAGTCCGTTTTTCAAATCCTAAAATGCAGGAGGTAAATATGAAGACAACTCTGTCATTCAGTTGGTGAATGAAGACCGTGATCCATTTCATTCAAATATTCATGATCGACATTTGTGTAACCAACTTGATCCCGATGACGACAATAAATACATCGAGTGACAATTAATGAGGTATGAGAAAAAACTCATGAACATTTAATAGAGAATGACTTTTCTGTTATACGATTTCAAGCACTGACTTGATCGTCAGAGGGTCCTCGGCCGACACCCCACCGGTGCCATCCGATGTGACATAATCTCCATTATTTTGCAGATAAACGTCGTCGTTTCAGGTCGCGAGGATTTTTGCATCAACATCAAATAGAGATGAGGTTAGCTCCAATGACCAACAGTCCTTACTCAAATGAGTAGTAGCATAAATATGATTAGGAACTGATCATTTAGGACACAACCACTAGAGATACTAAGGAAAGTAAAGAACTCTTAAGATTTGAGCTCCCTAAGGGTATTAAGAAAACTTGTCACCTCTTTCTCAATCTCTTCAAAAGAGAGTCCCTTGTGCTAGCTTGGATCTCCACTCAAACTCTGATCTCAGTATTCTTAACAAACGTGAAACGATCTCCTCAACTTAACAAGAACCTACATCTACACTCTACAAAGTCAAGGCTTTTATAAATGCCTCTTTTCGGTAACTCTTTGTAGTGTCTAGCATCTGGACGGAGAGGAACTTGAGGATGTACGAGGGGAAGAACAATAACCATTCTGACGTTGGTAAGAATGCTGTTTGGAAGGTTTGAGCAGCCCGCTCTAAGTTTAGAGGACTTGTGTTCAGTTCTACCACCTACCTTCCTTATGAATCCTAACAAGTGCTCTTTGCCCATGTCATAAAAACCTTATCTGCATTCCATCACATATAAGCAAACTATTCCTATTCCTCATATTTTATCTCAGTATTATCACGATAATCTTAATTAGGCCATAACCACTTACTTAGAGAGTTGAATTTATATGATATACAAGTTCCTAAAAGAAAATTTGTTGAACCTTTTTTTCTTCGATAAAGTAAAATTTCATTAAAAGTGCTCTAGAGGGGAGCGAACCCGCATAAATACAACTATACCGTCAAAAAACCATATACCCTATCATGTAAGTACAATTTCAGACAAAATCCCAAAAGCTGGAGTGGAAGCTATGGTTTCTTTCTTTATTTTTCTTTTTTCTGTTCCTACAAAAAAAAAGTTTCAGGAAAACAGATATCCTACCACTAACCAAATGATTCAAAGTTCTCACTGCAGGTTGAACTACCCAAATCAACATGACAACTACTTTTGAGTGGATGTTCACGGCTTTTGTACCAATTCATAACTTATACACCAGGGAACAATACAGACCACAATAAATACCCATCAGACACCAAGCATTTAGCCAAAGTGGTATCTCCTCCTCCCACATTAGAGGTCGAGGGTTCAGGTCCCTGTGGGGACAACAGTGGGTGTCTGTGTCCTAAACAATGGACGGAACAAAGGACATCAGATTGTAGCTCACCTTTTTCAGTAGGATTTGTAGATAACCCTTCCTTTGAAAGTATTTCCTCCAGCTCCTTTATTAGGGAAGCCTCGCGTTTGTTTTCAGGGGCCTGCTTAACTTTCTTGTAAACTGAAGGAGGAACGCTGCAAAAAGAATAAACTAGGTTTAGGCATCAACATTAACAAAGATAAAAGCTCCAGAATAGCAAGCCAAAGAAGAAAACCTCATCCCACATGATTTGATGATTGATTTCAGATGTTCCACTTGTTTCCCATATGCGGGAGCTGATACTTCTTTTTTCTGCATTTCATGGAGATGTCATTCAACGAAAAAAAAATTTACTTAATAATAGATTATTGAGATAACATAACAGTATACCTTCACAGATTTTTTCACAGAGGATTGAGATTGACCATCTTCAGATTCATTTCTGCCATCTTCTGCATCACTATTTTCCTCTGATGTCTCTTCTGCAAGCTTGTTCGGTTTCTTGCTAGAGACCTTTGTCTCCTTAGGAGATCTTTTACGTTTCTTGAGTCCTTCAGATTTCTGCATTTTCCCCTTTGGGGGAACTTTCTTTTTAGATTTTCCTTCATCTTCTATGTCCTCACTTTCACCATCTAAAGAATCAGAGCTTCCTTCGGTGCTGATATGTTTTGATAATTTGTGTTGAAAATTTTTCTTAGAACTATTCTTCTTAACATCCTTTGCAGATATAGAAGCTTTAGCAGATAATACCTAACAGATAACAGAATAAAGGACTACAAAAGGTTATTGATGTGCTACTTCTAGAAGTTGAACACCACCACCGGAATAAGTTCTCTAACCTTATTGAGTTGCTCGCTAATGAACTTCTTAAAGGGATCAAGAGTGTATTGACCGAGCTCCAGATCTTCCTCCAGTAGTCGACGAACACCAGCTACAGTAATCTTTCTATGAAGAAGAAGAAGAAGAGGGAAAAGAACAATGAATACTACTATTTTCAATTATCTGAACTGCAGGATATACGAACAGTACTGATAAAATTTATGTGCAATTACATCACAGGAACTGGAAATTTAACATGCAAAGATGTCAACGAGCATGGCTCGAGACCCCTATTTTAAACCCCCTCTGCAATGAAAAATCAATTCTCAAACCTGCCCGACCCGGCACACTTCAGAATCGGGCAGGTTTGGGTAGCCTGCTATTCTTGCTTTTTTTTTTTTGGAAGGGGAAAAAAACTTTGATTAAATTTATAAATAAATTTTTCGAAAGGTCAGATTATAAAAAAAATACTTAATAATCATAATCACGTGAACAGCCTTGAAATAAGACGAATATGGAAGTATGCTAGGACTTTTGGAAAACAGCACCAGCAACAATGAGAACAGCCAAACATAGCAGTTATAATAAAAATTAATAGCAAAATATTGATAGAACAACTCGTATAATGACATAACATACTCAGAATTAGCCCTGAAATAAGCAGCTCTTTTACTAATAGCCTTCTTTATTATGCTCTCACTTGGAATGACTTTCTTTCCAATGCCATGAAGTTCATCAGCTTCAGATTTGGTTGATTTTTGTCCGGTGAGAAGGCCCATTACTGGAGAGTCTTCCATTTTCTCCTCATCTTCAGAGCTAGGTTCCCTTAATTTTTTTTTTGTCTGAAGTTTTACAGGAGATTCTGCCACTTCTCCTTTAGTTAAAGAGACATTTTGTTCCACTGTCTCCATCATATTGATGGAGTCATAGTCATCATCAGCACCATCCATACACTAGCATTTTGAACAGAACATAAACATTAAAGGATAATCAGTATAAACATATAAAGAAATAGTCATCACTCGGAATTTCAATTAAAATGAGGAAGTCAAAATAAAACTATTTACTTACAGTCAAAACTATTCAAGGATAACTATTCAGCTTCATCAAGTTCATATGCATCAAAATATTGAACATAAGGAATTAAGAATATGCACAATGTGCAAACCACAGGAAATCGCGAGCACGACTAGTTGGCAGTGGATTATTGTTAACTAAAACTCTCAACATCATGCACCACCATGGCAAACGTACATCTGAGTAAATCCTCAAAGGCTACACCATTTTCATACTAGGACTTGTAGAATAAAACATATTTAGTTGTAGTATATTTTGTACAAACATAAAGAAAGAATTAATGCTAAAAGATGAGATCCAGCAAATTTAATTTGTGGATAGTACAGTGGTTAATAAATACATTCCCTTGGAAAGCAGTTTTACATACAAAAGCTCCACCTAGGGCTTTCTTTGGGTGGACGGTAGCTTTAGGGAACATCTTGATGATGGATCCTGAGACGGAGACTACAAATCATTGTCGATTGGTGCTGCATGTGCAAAAGGGATGAGGAATCGGTTAATCATCTCCTATTGCACTGTCCAGTGATTAGGGATGGCTCGACCATGCTCCTGTCCATCTTGGTCATTCACTGGGTTTGCCGGGATCAATGACGAGCATTAGGAGAAGTTACACAGTTGGGTCTCAAGCCCAAGATGGGTGAAGCCGTGAAGGATTGCACCCCTTTGTCTATGGTGGGCCTTATGACGAGAAAGGAATAGGAGATGCTTCGACAGGGTGGAGGCTCCTAACTGGGTGTTTAAGTTATATATTCCTAGTTCTTTATTTTTTGGGGTTTCATGGAAAGAATTGTAATTCTTGGGGGGACTTAGTTGATTTTGTGGATAGGGTATATTAGTTTTTGGCCTTTGTGCAGTTGTATTTGGCATGTGCTACCCTTTTGAGCGCTCTTTTATTGATACTTATAAATAATAAAAATATATAAATAAATAATCATCTGCAAAGCTTTGCATGGCATATCATTCAGAGTCAAGGTGTAGGCAATATCATTAAAAATAGTTAAGAACCACCTTGAATAAAATGACAAAGAAATGTTCCTCCCAATCCAATCTTCAATGACAAGGTCACCCTACAAGATAGAGGTGACTTGACAGTAGTTGACACAGGAGAATGCTCATTTTTTTTTCCTTTTCTTTTTTGGTAGGTAAGCCACTCAACACACACCAACTATTGCTCCTAAGGGGACTTTTCATTTGGAAAGAGGAGGAGATACCACTTGAATAAAATGACAAAAAAATGTTCCCCTCACTCCACACTTCAATGACAAGGTCGCCCTACGAGACAGAGGTGACTTGACAATTGGCACTGGATGATGCTTGTGCTTTTTTTTTTTTTTTTTTTTCTTAGGTAAGCTACTCAACACATACCCACTACTGTTCCTAAGAGGATTTTTCATTTGGAAAGAGGAGGAGATACCACTTTATTGGAGAATAATTATATGAGTGATTTAAGCCATTAAATCACTCCTTGACAGAATGTTAAGTTGCCATACTTGGGCAACAAGTTGTTGCCGTATTTGTATTTGACTTTCTGTGTAATTTCTTTATTATAGCTACGAGGCTTCCCTAATTCACTTATAAATAGAGGTGGTTATTGTAAATAAAATTAAGAGAGAATATAATAAAGATGATGTAGCCCTTTGGGCTTTGTGCGTGTATCCTTGTGTGCTTCAATTTCTATTTCTCTCTTCAATTTTGACATGTTAAGTTGCTATACTTGGGCAACAAGTTGTTGCCGTATTTGTATTTGACTTTCTATGTAATTCCATAGGTACGAGGCTTCCCTAATTCACCTATAAATAGAGGTGGTTATTGTAAATAAAATTAAGAGAGAATATAATAAAGATATGTAGCCCTTTGGGTTTTGTGTGCCGTGGATGTAAGCCCTGGTGGCTGAACCACGTATATCCTTGTGTTCTTCATTTTCTTTTTCTCTCTTCAATTTTGACACACTTGAATCAAAGGTTTCGTGGCATGTGCTCGAGCATTAGGCCTGTTATAATCATAGCAAAGCTTTGCAATGATTAACTAGAGTGAGTGGCTATTATGGATGGGACTTGGGCTGGCCTACCCGAGCAATTTGAGTGCAACCTGAAAACTTGGTGTGCTTGAACAATGTATTTGATGTCTCAACATTGGGTTTGGCTGATATTTAAGAGCCTGAATTCATCTTTTATGGGACATGGGCAAGGGTTCCTCTAAATTAAAAACCCAAAGTACAAGATAAATTCATCACTTTTAGATTTTCATAGCTATATATGCAAGTAACATGAGGTTAAGTTGCATAACTTACTCTTTGGTGGCATTCTATTACCGACATTTAATCATGCAATGGTTGTCATAGGTTTTATAAACATTGACACATTGTAAAGTATTGTGATGCGTAGTTTAATTGATTTTATTACAATTTATTGTCAACATGGTATAAACAACTTTATTACAAGTTAGACAGAGATATAGTTTAAATGTTCCATGCATAGGCTTTAGTTTTTTCTCCAGTTTTGTGCGTGTTTTGTTTTTTTTTTACAAAGTTCTATTTATTTGCATGTTATATCCACCTAAGTAACTAATTCAACGTACCTAATATTTAAAAAATTTGGAAAACCCAAGCAACCCAAAAAACTGAAGGAGCTCATGATGGAGATCCTGATGAGCCGTGTGGTCTACATACTTATTATAGGCATAGGCGTAGAAGATGATTTTAGGATTTGTTTCATGTTTTATATTTTATTTTTCTTATTTCTTTAGGGCTTTATTTTTTATAGTAGAGTTTGACTAGGGTTCTATTTTGATGCTTATATATATGTGGCTTGTGTCATTGAGTAGATAATTTTTATTGCTATTGTTTACAAAGATTATAGATTTCCTTCTCCCTATTTCTCCTTCTCTCCTCTTCCCCTCTCATTCTGCATTAAATTAGTATCAGAGCAGCCCTACCCATCCTGCATCAGCTCAGATGTGATTCGTAAGTTAAGATTTCTTGGGTTCCTTGGGTCTTAGCCTGGGGCAGAATGAGGGATCAATACCTGGATCCTGGTGCAAGCTGACCCCTTGGCTAGCCCAAATCCCCACCCTAGTGGCTATGAATAGGTCTTTACCAAATGGTACTATCAGCAGCATTGTAGCAAGGTGAATGCAGATTAAAGCAATAAGAAGAAAGCCAAAAGCCCAATCATCTGCTTCAGCTTCATGTATGACCATAAACCAAACAAAAGAATTACATCCCCATTTCACGTTCAAATTATGATCGTCAAGATTTGAAATCATTTAAAACCTAGCCCTCAACCTGACAGTTATCCTAATATTAGGTGATGCTGAAGTCCTGGATGGCCATTTGGCCGCAGGAGACTGAACCTAGGATGACACAAGCTGGACAGAAAGCCTACCTACCACAGAAATGGTTGCGTAGATTGAACTCATACATCCAAGGAGTAACTGTATAAAATTAACCTGAAGCAGGGCAAATGTTAGACAAAGACATATCGTGCATATATCTCATAAAAGAAGAAGTATAGCCAAGGGGAACCTAACTCTTGATATTTAATCTGGTAAGAACTGTCTCAAATATCTCCCAAATGCATATGAACAAAATTGTACAACCCGACTTCTTGATATTTTAAAAACTTATGCACCCTTAGGTTTATTCTCTCATAGTAAAAGAGATGGGACATGATATCAAAAATGCTCATAAGCTAACTACAGCTGTGAATTAAAGCTCATCTGCTCTATGCAAATACTTTGCTCAATTATATTCCCCAAAAACCAGCCCAAGTCTAAATGCAATCGCATTTATGCTAACAAGACTTAACGGATATACAGCAGGCTCAGCTCAGCAGTCAGCTAAACATCATAAATAATTTTCTAGGACTTCACATTTGGAATCGCAGTCCCAAGGCTTATGATTTTTCTGGAATTAGCCATCTTAAATATCAGTAAAAGTGAGCCAAGCCTAGTCCCAAGTTTTAACCCCTCCAAACTAAGAGCATCCTCACTAAGTCGCAAGAGTTTCTCCACATTCACAAGTGCGCCAAGCTAGAAAAGCTTCAGCTCATACATAGATCACCAAATTAACCTTAACCTTCCATCTGTCAATCTGCCCAAGCATATTGTAGAAGAGGCAGACCAAAAGGTAGCAGTGGACATCTAAAAATAATTTTTGGATTCCTTTGCAAAATGAGAAACTACAAACTCTACGAAGAACATATATGACAAGACTAAAGACTTCAATCTATTAATACCGAGGAACAAGGAAGACACAAAACCATGGTGGTATTGAAATATACCGACATAAAAAAATAATTATTATCAACAAAGATTATATAAAAATAAAATTCAGTTCGTTTCCGCTGGAGTATACGTGTCACATCTTATAAATGAAACTAAGGACAAAAATCTTATCAAGAAGTGCAAAAGGAGTGGGAGGAAAATTCCTGCAAGTTGAAAAATATACCAACTTTGACACTTCATTGAGAAAGAACAAAGAGTTTATTTATGCAAGCACAAAAAGAAACTTGACTTTGTGCCTCAAATCCACATATAAATGAAGTTAATCTCCTAGAAACTAGAGAGGCCACAAAAATAGTTGTAACAATGGGAAGCAAAAGCAGGAAAAGGCAAGAGAAATGGAGAAATAAATGTAGTTCAAAAAACACCCCAGAATTTCCAAGCATCTGATTGCCAGCAAAACATAGATGCCATTACTCGAACTGCCAAAGCTGAGGCTTTCCAGGTTAACAGCCAACAACAAGGGCCATAGGCAAAACAAAACAAAACCAAAAAAAAAAAAAAAAAGTCATTTTTAGTGACATAATATCTGTGAGCGAGTGATGTGTGACTAAGCCATATTCGTGCCAGCAAGGTTGTCAAATAATTTTTCCTT